TAGTACGGGCAGTCGAGAACCCGGAGGCCGCAACCCCCCGCCGAAAGAGATCGAGTCCGAGATCGACATACTCTATGAGAATCAGCGTGGCGGCTTCCTATGTGGCATCCCTCTTTTCTCGTCTGCAGCATTGGGGAACCTAGACCCCCCGCCCTGGACCAATTTTGCCCATAAGCCCAGCCCGACCGATATCCACACAGCCCAGGTTCCTGATCCGAGCTGGCAATGGGCTTGGCCCGAATGGCGTATAAATCACGACGAGCAAATTCAAACCGATGGCGACGGCTGGGAATACTCTTTTATGTTCTCCAGATTCTCCTGGCATCCACCGAGATGGTACAGCTCGTTTGTTCGGAGAAGAGCATGGATTAGAAGACGGATAAAAATAAGCATGGGATACCAAGCGACAGACGAGCATGCCATGAACCCAGCCTACTTCACCGTGTTAGCCAAGCAGCAAGGGCCGACTCCCTTTGCGACAATGAACGAGGCGGAAAGAATGAGTATGGACAGACAGTCTAGGCGGTCACAGGGGTCTCGGAGGTCGCGGGAAAGGTCAAGGGGAGGTGTGGACAACCCCCCGGTCGCCCTGGAGATCAAAACTACCGATGACTTGATGGCTATCCTCAGGCAATCACGGATTGACCGGGAGAGACTCGAAGCAGTCGAAAACTACATTAGCAACGGTACGGATGACTTGCTGCACCTGCAGGGGCATATGCATGAGATCATGTCCATGTTTGTCTTCCAGACCTCTCGGAAAACACTCCTGGCACGGCTTACGCAGTTGCATGATGACGTGACAAGCGAAAGGAATCAAGGAAAATCGGCAAAAACGCCCAAGGCGCAAAATTTAGCGGAGGCTATCAAGCATGCTGACGAGGAAGTCCGCAGATTGGAATATTGGAGCGATATCAAAGGGATGGCCGAGAACGGCGAGACAGCTCACGCTGTGGATCATCAGAAGGGGTGGGACTCGGGTTGGCAGGGACTGGACAAGAGTGGTGCGAAGGGCATCGCTGACGACGAAAATCCATAATACCTAGCTTTGGGGCGAGTTAGTAAGAGGGCACAGGGCAGGGTTTCATTTTTTGGGATACCCTTACTCTCCAACGGATAAAAGCTGCATACTGTGTATGTGCAATCCCAGATTATCGCGAAACAGGGCAGTACCCAGCTCCGGCACCTCATCTCACGTTATCTATCGAAAATTTTGGCCCAACCACACCTCGGTCGACGTGTAATGTGCACGAGTGTAGTATTGGTATGCTATTTACGGCGCCAATGTCCCCCTTGCATGCCAATTATCCATGCCCGGGGACCGTTACCCGTGAAGTTGCCGAAGACGATTGGGCCGAGAACGCTGCTACGTAACGCTTCAGCCGCAACCTTTGGACCTGAAAAGCGCAGTTCTTGAGCACAGCTTCAGCTTAGCATGCCTCTCGGCGGTCCAAGTCTCCATTTATACGATGGTGTATTCTAGAAGGGGCGGCTCAGCTGTAATCGTTTTCCGTGGGGGTAAGACCCCCCCCAAACGCGACCCTACACCACGCATCAAGGGTATAGATACAGGGAGGCAGGTCCTAGGAGAATCTAGCCTCCACGTTATCTATGTCGTCGATTCCTCCCCCCCCTTTCTTGCAGCCTCGCGAGGTCGCGTCGCATGTTAGCGAGCCCGTTCCGCTTACCCGGCTGAAATCCCATGTCAAACAGTTACAGGTTCAGTGAAGGCGTTGATATATCGTACCTATCGTACCATGGCCGCTCGCTGTACTATCTCGGCATCCCCTATCTATCGACCTCGATACTGGTGTCCGTGCATGACAAATGAGGGGGCCTACGACTCCAGTATCTCTGCGGAGTGAGGACCTCCTCACCGGTTCGAACAATCCTGACAGGGACGAAACCAGCTGGGCTCATGCTCGCGGCTGCGGCGCCATCTATCTATCGACAGAATCGCAGTGGGGATCATGTTCGTGATATTGGTACTAGCTCTCGGAGTCGGCGCACACTTTGTATCTCGTACTTTTGTTTTTTTCCTGTTCAAGATGACAATATGCAACGTTCCACGTTCCTGCATGTGTGGTGAGATCTTCGATGCAGGAGGGGCGACTTTTATAAGAGTCTGTGCTGCCAAGTCTTCCATAGCGTCATCAATATACGACCTAAAGATAGACCGTGATGCCCGATCTGCTTCCATTCGGAGACCGGTAATATATCTCATCATCCCTTGACTGTGCCGCCTGATCCTTCTTAGTAGAGAACCGTCGATCAGGTCATTTCCGTTCTCCTACACTACTATTGTCCAAATACTATACCCCATCAGGCTACTTGTTGATGCTTTATTACCTGCCCTGTCGACAAACACGATGATGTTGCCAAGAAGACAAGGTGGCCAAGGGTTGCTCACCCTTAAGTCGCCTTCTCCCCGTGCTGCCTCGTCTAACAGTCAAGAGGGGAAGACTAAGAGCGAGGGTGCTGTAATAAAGCCTTGGGCCGACCAACCCTGGCCGCTCATCGAGGCCCCGTCGAGGACACAACATGTGCGTATTGTGTTGCCGTGCTTCTTCTTAATTTCTTTCCATATGATTTGACTCTTACCTTTTTTCAACATGTTCCCTTTTTTATACTCCAAAACCAAAAGCCGACATCGGATCTTCCGATCTGCTACAAGGACGACCAGATGGATAGCTAACGAGGAGCCGAGCAGATCACACACCCGGCCCTGCACATCGCCAACGAGATCTCACTCATCCACAACGCCATGTTGCGCGGGCTTAACTCGATATACCTGCAGGCACCACACGTACGACAAGCCAAAGACATAGCGGACCTGTTATTCCTGACGCAGAGCTGGAGCAGCTGGCTACTGAACCACCACCACCTCAAAGAGGCCATAATGCTCCCCGGGTTCGAAGCCGCCTTGGGCGTACCGGCGGGCACGTTCACATTACTTGGTATTCGAAGTCCATCACCGACCTCTCCCACTTCGGATAGAGATATAACGCCGACGACGACGACGGCGACGACGAAAGGTAAAGGCAAAGACAGGGGCGGAGAAGCAGAAGACACGATATCCTCCCGCTTACGCCACGTCTACGCATACGCTTCTACCACGCGCCCGGATCCGCAGGCATACAACGCGACGACGTTGCAGGGACTCCTCGCTAATCTCGCCGAGACTCTCGTGCCCCATCTCACGAGGCAGGTCGGGCTTCTGGCCTCGATGCGGGAGATGTGTCTTAGTTCCGTCTCACCCGCCGCGGCTAGTATAGGCAGGGATGACGAGATGCCTGCTCCGCTGCCCGTCCCCATGGCCCAGATTACAAAGACGGCCTCTGCGTCTTCCGCCAGCAACGGATCGCCCTCCTCTCCCCCATCTACATCATCCACATCGCGCTCGCCCTCGACGGCTTCTTCCCCCCCACACTCCCCGCGGAGGGTCTCGTTCTCCCTATTCCCGTCTACCTCCTCCACCACCACCACCACCGCCACCACTCGACCGCCACAGCACGGCAAAACCGGCAGCAAGGGTACTACCACTACTACTACTAATAATAATAATAATAACAATAATACCAAGGCCAAGAAAAACAACAACAACAAGGGTAAAAATAACGTACAACCCCCCCCTGATGGTGGAAATCACACGGGAGCCAGGATCATGGAGGTGATGGAGACGGACGCGAAAGACCGCCTGGCGCACGCGCGCGCGCTCCTCGAAGCCGACGACCGCGCCAACAGGCTGACGCAGGTGCACACGGCGGCCGAGGCCCACGCGGCGGCCGACGTGGATTACTTCGTGATCCCGCCCATGATCGTGCGGCTGCGCGACTCGACGGTCCCGACCACGACGTCGCTGCCCTCCGGGCTCTCGCGCACCTCGTCGTCCTCGAGCATTCGGGCGGGGAGTACGGAGACGGGGATGGGGATGGGGATGGGGAGAGGGGGGGCAGGAGTAGGAGCAGGAGCAGGACAGGGAAATAATAAAGGCGGCGATTGGCCGCGGCTGTCGGTCCCGGCCGTCCACGCCATCGCGGATAAACTGTCGCTGAGGCACGAGGGGGCCTGGAGGTTCTTGCCTTGCGATGTCTGGGGACGACCGAGGGAGTTGCCGTTTTCGGCGGAGTGAAAGGAAGGAAGGAAGGGGTTGAGTGAGTGAATGAGTGGATGGATGGAGGGAGGGAGGGAGGGAGGGAGGGGGCGTGAGTGGTGGATTTCACTTGAGGAGAAGGAGTGCGTGGGTGCGTGGGTGCTGGGCAGGGGAAATCAATCCCCCCTCCCCTCCCTCTCCCCTCCCCTCTCCCCGGGCGACTAGGAATCTTTATCTAGAACGGAGGCATTGGGGGAAATCCCGACAAAACGGGCGAGAAGGGATTGTCGAGCGCTTCAGGCTTGATGATGAGAAAGCGAGGCAGTTTGGAGAGTCTGGATGGATGGATGAATGAATGAATGCTCGCAACACGGATTCGATCAGGGAGATCGGTTCCAAGACTGCGGCGGCGGCGGTATCTTTTTCGAAGCGCAAGCGAGGAACAGGAGAGAATGAATTGAGGCGAGGGTTGTTTTGAATGTCGAAGGATTGATTACAAGGACATTTCAGACGAGATATACAACATGGATGTTCGGTTGATAACTATCTGTCAAGCCGAGCACAATAGGTAGTATGTATATAGCCCGGGGTGGGAGGGGGGAGGAGGCGAGGGGTGCTACCCTGCAGGAAAAATCCCACGAGTTATCGTATAGTAATAGCACCTACATTTATTTCGCAACGCAATCTAATTCGGACGACCCTATTGCACACCTAAGTCGAAGGGCAAAAGGGATTTGGGAGGGGGGAGGGGGGAGGGGGGAAGGGGGGGGGGAAGGACTGGATGGAATAAGGTAATTAAAAACGAACGACAAATTAATGTGAAATGTGTGTGTTTTTAAAAAAAGTTAATAAAAAAAATAAAAGTTTCGGTTGCTGCTCCCAGTTACCTGGGAGGCATCAGGAATTGAGCCCGATGCGGGGGTCGAACCTAATGATTGCAGTTAGCTTTTGCGCTCTTATTTAAGAGGGGAATAAGAACAGGATAAACTAACCCGCAACCTTGAGATTAAGAGTCTCACGCTCTACCGATTGAGCTAACCGGGCGGCTCTGGTGATTTTCTCGCTTGCCAAAGCCCCTCGTTATGCTCGGTACTCGCTCGGCTCGGGTCACACTTAGCGTGGGCGTAATTTTTTCTCTGTGCCAAGGGGTAGGTTTGTGTTCATGATGGTATGCTAAGGTTAGATAGATAGTTGCGTTACTTAACAGGGCTGCCTCCAGACTAGGTCGGTAATGCGGGTATTTCTCACCGCACAGTCCCACCACATTCTCGAGGTTCTCTTTGCGCTTAATTGAAGTCGCCGCTTCAAGTAGGTCATGGTATTCGTTAATTGGTAACGGAAGTGGAAGGGCCTAGAACCGTAAAAAGCACGAGATGAAGACTGTCTGCATGCATGCACAAGCAAGGCTAGAATATAACAACAACACATCACCCTCACTTGAAGAGAGGTCGAATTGTCTCACCGTCAAATAAGAGTCGCCTCAGTAACGGAGAGAGGGGCATCGAGTCCCGAATATTCGGGACGTGGCCGACCATCCCTCCCCAGCACCCCCGGAATGTGAACATCAATCAATGAAGGCGCGCAGGTAAGACAATTCTCCATCAATTACCAATCTAAATTCCAGCACCGAGAGTCGCCACATGCTAGACAGGCAGCCTGCCCCCCTCCCAATATAAGTGCAGACAGGAGTAGACATTTGGACGATTTAGCGCTGTGAATTGTGAGACCTCTTCGCCAGATCTAGGGTAAATGCGTGCCAGTCGCGTCGGAGGGGAGGCGAGACACGCGCAGAAACGGGTAAAGTGGAGGAGGGGGGCTTGCTCGATTCTGCAGTGGCTTTTACTGTATTGCATTGCTGAGTTGCAATGCGATGCCTCTAGCAACGGATAGCGCGTACGTAGATCATGGAAAGACAGACAGATGGAAGGGATGGGAGGTAGTCGAGGTCGTCGCGTCCGGGTGATGTCGAGACTCGTGCTCTCCATCGCGCGTGAAAGCTTCCAATTGAGATATTCTTCCTCGGGCAGTTGTAGATCAGTCCACACACAAGCACGATACGCCTGTGGAAGAGAGCAGTTAGTTGGTATGCGAGGTTGGACAACGAGCGCATAGACTGTATCACGGATTCAGAAACTCTTCATGAACAAACGATTAGCGCGGTTGATATTCTCACGACAAAAGAAGATAATCGCTACTGCTGCTGTTGTCGTCAAGGCTCCCTTCTACGATGATGGCGACGCGGCGGGCGAGTCCCCGTCGCGGCAAGGTCATCACGAATCCGCGCCAGCACTTCCAGTCCTTCTTCTCTGTTCGACTCACGATCCTCCTACTAAGCATCACTGCACCCGTATTCGGCACGCCAATATCATACTTCCCCTTTAATTCGCAACTTCCGCCCGTGGCGCGAGTATCGAAGCCATTCTCGTTCATCTTCTCGCCCCTGACATTCTCGTCCGACAATGAGATGAGCTATGCGCTGGCCGACGGTTCACCTTCATGGCTCTCGCTCGATACCGCGTCGCGAACACTCTCTGGCACCCCGGACGAAGCTACAGTACCCTCGGGCGAGACGCTGGTCGGCGTTGTAATCACGCTCGTAGCAAGCGACGACACAGGCTCAACGGCTGCGAATGCAACGCTCGTCGTGTCGCGCGGTCCGGAACCTATTGTGAAAATACCACTTTTGGATCAAATCCAGAAATTCGGCCCGTACTCCGCACCTGCGTCCATATTGCTTCACCCGTCGAGCGAGTTCGAGTTCGAGTTTGATCCGAATACTTTTGGTGCTGGTGTCGCGAGGGGCGGGAATGATCAGGACAGGGCCGAAGGTGGGAGAAGCAAGACTCGGGATGTAAAAAGAGAGACAGATGGAACCATGAGTGGAACAGAGCGACCACAACTGAATTACTACGCAGTATCAGGCAACAACGCGCCTCTCCCATCATGGATTGCATTCAACGCCGAAAAACTCGCTTTCTCGGGCAAAACGCCGCTCTCCGAGCCCCTTGCACAACCACCCTCGAGGTTTGACTTCCAGCTGGTAGCTTCGGATGTTGTTGGATTCTCATCGGCCTTTATCGAATTCTCAATCATGGTGGGCAACCATGAGCTTACCAGCGAGGAGCCTGTCATCAAATTAAACGCCACGAGGGGCCAGCAGCTTGAGTACACAGATTTATCCAACATGTTCAAGCTAGACGAGAAACCTATGAAGGCAGGAGATATTTCTTCTATCAAAGCGGATGGGCTGCCAGCGTGGCTCTCTTTTGACGAAGAATCGTGGAAGATCAGCGGGACGCCGGATCTGGACGCACAACCGACTAACGTCACGGTTTCGGTGGTGGATAAATTTTCGGATGCTTTGAACGTTACTCTGGTAATAGGATTCGACAAGAAAATCTTCGTGTCCGATCTCCCTGGCCTTAATGTGTCAGCTGGGGATGACCTCTCGTTTGACCTTACGAGGTTCCTCTTCACCCCCGAAGACACGCAATTAATGGCCGAGATACAGCCTGATGACTCCTGGATTCGATACGACGACTCGTCTAAACTTCTCTCTGGGACAGTGCCTAAGCCTTTAAACACGAACTTTGCCCCCGAGATTCGTATTAGTTTCAATGCGATCCAAAGGCGTACGAAAGAGAAGGAAATGAAAGATATGAACATTCACGTGAACAAACCAATTGACACGGCCGAACTTCCTCCCGTGAAGGGTCCTACCAAGGGAGACGACACACGTAGAGACCTATACTGGCTCCTTATCATTCCGGCCGTAGCCGTTGCGGTTGCTATCATCCTGTGGATCTTCAAGGTGCGGAAACGGCGGCACCAGCCGAGGAAGCTTGACTTCTCAGAGGTATCGGGGCCCGTGCCGGGCACTTTCGTGGCAAACGGGTACATGGATCCCTCGTTAGATGAGATACGGAAGATGGTGGACACAGGACCACAGGCGCCATATATACGACCTCATATGCCACCAGCGCCTTCCAATCCTCAAACATCGCAGGCAACAGCGAATCCGAGAATAGAAGTGGAGCAGGTTACTTCACACTCCATGGCCAAGTATTCCGGGGCGGATAAGCCAGCATACCAAGGTAATGATATGAGAGATTCTTGGTTGGGTGATCGACATTCTCGGCCGTCTCCCACGGGCACGGATGAAGTTAGTTTACTATCCAATACAAGCTGCGGGCAAGAAGTACACAATACCGGAAATCTCTACATAAAAAAACGAAGGCCAGGAGAAAATGCACATGAGAAGAAAATTGGGCTTCAGGTCCCAGAGATTGCCGAACCGTTCAGTATACAGGCGACTCCTGATCTTGCTTACACGGCAGCGGGGAGATATGATTATGTTTCCGATGAAGAGACACAGGCTATTGTCAGTTCCGCAGAGCGGCGAAGATCGGGTCACCAACAAAACACAAGTCTCAGCCCTCATGGATTCCAAAATAAGCTCTCCAAAGCTTGGAAACGAACGAGTATCTCGAAGTTGGGAGACACAAAACGGCATAGCCAACATAGTGCATCGACGGATGTGACAACTTGTACAAGTATCCTCACCTCCGGAGTCACTGAAGAGGCAACTACAGCGAGCGCAAATGTCGTTGCGAGACCGACCATTATTCACATACCCGGTCGGCCAGGCGAGGCGCGACAACTGAGTCGAAGAACAGGGGGCTCGACAACATTCTTTGGCGGCGGTTCCCTCACCAAGTCCCAACGGAACTTTGGACTGGACAAGGACACCGTGTCAGTGTCAGCATATTCTATTGAGAAAGACCTAGAACCCCCCGCTGTTTTTAGAGAGCAAGACGTAGCTCGGGATGGCCAGATGGCATGTGATGACCTGGCAAGTACCCCTTTAGGTATCGCGTACGGAGACATGATTCCGACCAAACGGACTTGGGATGAAAACTGGAATGCCGGCGTTACAGATGAAGAACTTCTGTCTCCCGATCGGTGGCCGAAACCGGGCGTGACTCCAGCTAATGTATTCCGGGGTCAAAGCGAGCCACCTCAGCTTCCATCTCCTAAACTATCCACCAAGGTTGAGTCACCAGTAACGCCAATGGGCAAAGGAAAGAAAAGGTTAAGTCCGATGCGCAGGTTAAGCCGGATCCGCGGCTCTATATCGACGCTGTCGCAAACGCCATCAACACATATGCGAAGCAAGGGACGGTCTTCTCACGAGGAGCGGTTGCGTATAAGCCGCATCCGAGAGCAAAAAGCGCTGGACGAATTCCGCGCCATGATGTCGCACACACCATCACCTCACAGCGAATGGGCTCCGCCAAGGGTTAGACCCTTGCCAGAGACGCCATCCAGGGCAAGTAGGCCACCCCTGATTGATCACTCGAACGAACCAGGAGGGCTTAGGAGTACGGCCTCGAAGCGAAGCGTTAAGACATTGCGTAGTAACAAGAGCGTGCGGAGTGCGCGGGCGGATGATGACGACGACGATGCGTGGGAAGACATACCGCCACCTGAGTCGATAATATTTGGATGGGAGGGAGAAGGAAGCGATGGTAGTTTTCCAGTTTATATCTGAGATGCACGATAATGAATTGTGGAGACCGGTCTGTTTGTAATACCTACCCGATCTTAGTATACTTGGCTACTGAACTTCAGTTTGAATGCGAGCCTCTCCGGAAGCACTTGCAACTAACTTGGTCGACTATGATGGCCGAATCATACTATATGCACTTGACTGTGAGCGGTGGTAGACTTTTTTTTTCCTTTCTTCTTGTCCTTTTGTTTTTCTTTTTTCCTTTTCCAAAACAATATAACTTGTAGGGTGTTGTTATTCGGTTGTGCGAGAGAGGGCCGTATGAGGTGTCTCACTTAGCGTGGTGTTGCATGGTAATTGCATCGGAGCGGCTCAAGAGGCGGTAGAGTCGTAATCCTGGTCGGATCCTGGACATCCATAGCGGTGGTGCAGGTCACGGGATGGTATAAAGCCGCAGCAACCCCAGTTCCCGTCTATTTCCTAAGGCACTGGAGGCTTGACGGCATCAGCATGACCCCGGTTCGACCCAGACACA